AAACTACAATGCAAAAATAAGAGAATAAACAAAAAATGTTTGTACCAACCTCCGATTCATCTGAAGGGGAATTATTTCCATTTTGTGGCCCACGCAAACATGTTCCGTCTAACCTCATTGTCACTGCAGCATCACAATCATATGAGTTACAATCTGGACATGGGCTTAGGTGCTCACTGCTGTGTCGTCGCCAGCCCATTCCTCTAGAGTGACTTTGTGATGATGTGGAGGTTAACACTAACTGTTTAAGAGCAGACACTTCTGCTTGAAGAACTTCAACCTATAAATAACAGCATGGGATGAAGTTTGTTTCATTTAAAAATCTCATTGCTGTTTCCGTACTCACTAATGAAATCTGAAAAATATAACTTAGTGACAGATTTTGACAACAAAGTTACATCCTTGTTCCAGGTCTGACTGTATTATGATTCCTACAGGTGGTTAAACTTTCACAATTTAGCAGTTGAAGCTGAGTGCATAGGAGTATCTCCTGTAATGATCTAGAATATTTCAAATCAAGTCTTGCCATGCCTAATCATGTAAAAACTTATTTATAAATGGAATACCGAGGATCAACAAAATACAAATAGTTTTCCACCAACCTTGTTATTTGCTTCCTTGAATCTCTTTTCTGCTGCAGCCCTTTTAACATTTGCAGCACGAACCATGGCATGAGCCTCCTGTTAGATTAATAAAGAAATAATGCAATAAATCATTTTGAAGACATTGTTCATTCAGATATAATGACAAATTTAGAACTAGCAATTTGACTTGAATTCCCAATAAAAATGAGTGGCACTTAAGTCATCTTCAATCTACATGTACAGTTGTATATTCAGAACAAACCTGAAACAGACTTGCTGTCAGTTCTTCTAACTCTGATTCCAATTGATTTCTGACTCTTGATAGTTTTTCACATTCTTCATCTTTCAGCTTAAGCTCCTTTATTGAGACAACATCAGAATTATATCATTACACTTAAACAAATGAAACAGTTGCAAGTGTACAGGTTTTGGTGCCCAAGTGCTCTAACATAACTGGAACTGATAGACAAAATGGATCAAAATAAGTTCTTATTTACATTGCAACCTTTAACATAATTAACAAGTAACTTCCCCCTATAATTTCCATACATTAATCAGCAAACAAGGTATGAGAATACTCAAACTTATCAGCTAGAGGTTATCTTGATCTAAGGAAATGTATAGCAGCTAGAGGGGAGGATTAACAATCAGATCTTGGGAGTTACAGGTAAAGGCTTAGCCACAGTCTTTCAAATCTTATAATATCTTGATCCTTTCAATTGCGTAGGTGAAAGGTAAATTCTAAGAATGGAAGAGAATTCTTTCCTATGGCCCGTCTTGTAAACTCAGCAGTACACTTTGCATCCAAAAAATTGACTCTATTAATATCTTATGAAGTCGAAAAATGTCATGATTATCATTGCTTATTTTCAGGACTGAGTTAGGAGAATTCACACAATGATCACTCTTCAGACTCCAAGGATTATCTCTTCAGAGTACTACATTTAAAAGCCCTCACCTCTTGAGCTTTCTTAAGCTCCTCTTGAAGTCGTTCAAAAGCCTGTGCCTTCACCTCTTCACGACTTGGTGACGTTGGTGCACGATCCCTGAAGGTAAAGTCTTCACTGTTGAAACTTTCATTCAGTGTACTAAAGACAAACAAACAAGCCTCAGGTAAGATAAAAAAAGTAATCACTGTCTTAGAAAATAAATTATGTTGAAACTGGTTCATTGTCAACAGTTTAAACTCAGAGCTTAAAAAATAAACTCATATTGGAAATCTTGGCTGGTAAGGATTATTGTTGCAGAAATCAGAGAACATTACGGTTTCATTCTCATTCCCAGCTGATACTTTCACATCCAGAATAGTTTTGTCTTCTCCCAAGATATCTGTTACAAAATAGTACAGGGCACACTGTAATTCCCCTCAAGGCTAACATGAAGCCAGAATAAAATTTTTGTGTCCTAAAAATGATCTGTTAAAGAAACAGATATCACAAGGGATAAAAATGTTTTCACCAGTGGACAAAGGATCAATCTTTTCACTCATTTCCACAAGTGCTGTACACTTTACTACACTGTATTTGCTCATGTTCAAACAGGTTAGTGGTGACCCAGATTCAAGAAGTTGAGGAATCTGCATATTAGGTGTTACAATTTTGGTCAATATAAAGTACGACTAAGATTTATAAAGAGAAACATGTGGTTCCTTGTAGCTTCAATATCCTCTGGTTGACATTTTTCTTTCTTCTCATTATCTCATTAAAAAGACGTGAAGTGAGAGGCCTCTTGAAAACAACATTAAATGTCGTACTGGGAAATTTATCACCCTCCTAACAAATGCAAGTCAGAGCTCTAGGGTCTTCCACCATCTAGAAATCCATTCAGGATTAGACACAATACTGTACACCAAATGTAGTAAAAAAGATACTTTTGGAATGTTTAGAAATGTATTCAGCCTATAGGATGACTCTCAGATGCGCCCAGACAAAGACAAAACCAATTATGCATGTGTAACAATTACAACAATGTGATCTGAAAACTATTAAAATAGACAATTTTTACCTTCAAAATGAAAACACACTCATGAAGCAAAAAAATTTATTTTGTCCATAACAAAGAATCCCAGAAACACCTGGAACGACTAGAATGATCAAAATGAACGGCTTAACTTCTTAAAGACAAATACAAACATTTCCGCATGTTGTGCTCTTGCCTGTCTTAAGCATCACACCATAACACAGCACATAAAGCTTAGCACTGCTCAGCTAAAAACTCGAATTTTCGAAGGCTACAAACTATCTCTACAAAATCCTTTCTCAACTCCTAAATAAACGTAAATACTTATTCCCCTCACCTTCCATCGACAACCATCTGACCCTCAGAATCACTACCATTCAAAGTACCAACTGGGGATGGCGAACGAGATCTTTCTCCGTTTGTAAACGAAGCCCTCGATCGCTCCCTTGCTCTATTGTATTGCAACTGTGAAGCATTGCTGCATGTTCTTTGCCTTATAGCCGTACCAAATATATCGGGTTCACTGGAGGTTCGTTGGAATATCGCTTCTGGCGATAAATACTTTGAATCAGAGAGGACCTCAGTCATCTAGAAGTCGCCGAAGGCACGCACTACAACTAAGGTAAATTAAAACAACAAAAGTCGTCTCACTTCTGTCAACAACACTGTGGCGTGAATTAATCCGAAATGCTGCTCATGGTATATTTATAGAGGTCGATATTTTTGCATAAAACCGCAACAGTCCACGGCAAATGATAAAATTCAAAAATAATTTATGACCAAAAAGCCGGCGTCTTACTCCTTATCTTGGCAAAGTTGTTGCGTCGACGTATTTCGAAACCGCAGTGGTTGAACGAGTCCAGATGATTACCTCAGATTTGATTTGCATTCAAAACTCGAAACACCAACGCTTGCCAATAAAGCACACTGGAAGCAATACAAATTAAACGACTTTGTGCCTCTCTGTACTTGATACGAATTCGTGACATCCGATCTTTCCCGAACCTGCCGGACGCTGTAAACAATATTGAGTTCCCAAGGTGTATTATCCAGTACAATTAGTCTTCCAAATGCTCTTATGTAAATAAAAAAAACCAGCTGCTGAGTCAAATGGCAGCTTAAGCCGTAAAACTAAGTGTACTTCGAACAAAACCCTAAACAACACGACACAAATATACGTATCATGACTAGAGCAATCTTGGTAATACCCAGTCCTCGCGCGTATTGATTAAAGAAATAAACTCAGTAGGGGAGAGAACGTAGGATTGTTTCTCTAAATCCACTCCTTTTCAGCAGATCCAAAAGGGCTGGCAAACGAGGATCGATAGCAATCGATAAAAAAGGACGTCATGTAATGAAATAAATGATCAACCCATAATCACAGAACGAACAACAAAAATCGTACGTGTGATTATCAACCAGTTTCGGTCGCAGAATAAGGCTTCGACCCCTCTTTTATTCCCTGTGCTGTATAACTAAAAGAGTAACAAGATCTGAGGTTGAGAAGACTGCAAGTATACCTTTTCCACTCGTAAAAACGAGAACAGACGGCGGGCTTAATACTCAAGTCACGGGTGGAGGGTCGAAGGTCACGAGTCATTAGTCAAGGGACATGAGTCACGAGTATCAGAAGAAAGCATTCCGGTAAATCAAATTTCTAACCTCATAGTTTTAACCTAGAACATACGGATTTACCGCGATTAGGCCGTGTATACTAGTGTGGACCCCAAATCAAACTTTATTTAATGAGTAAACCTTAAAAACCCCATGCCATCTCTACGGAGAAAGAAATGGCTGCCCTCCTCTGAAAATAAGTAAATCGGCACTAATTTCGTTTCTCGCCAGAAAAGCAAGAAACATTCGATAAAAGGCTGCAAATATTCTGAATATCAAACTCATCAGTGTTTCATGACAGCATACCAAATCGCGATTGAGTCATGCTCTAATGAGGACTTTATCTCTTCTTCACGAAATGTGTACAAAGAAAGGAAGCGATCGCAGAGACCGAACGGGCAGCTAAGAAAAAGAAGGGAACTCTCACAAATAAGATCAACTTAAACTATAGTTTAAGAATATGATTCCGATATGACTGTACATGTTTTTCAAGCTCTAACTAGTGTCCTTTGATTCATGTTGATCATAAACTTTCAGTACAACAAGCAGTATTCCGCTACTTCCTCATACTTGCAACCCTCCACACAACACTCTTCATGGTAGTTCGTAGGTTGACTAGGCTCCACAGAATGAAGGTCTCTCCTTGCTAATTTCTTGAGGAAGTGCTTGGCCTCTTTTTCCGATTTCACAAAATCTGTGAATCATTGAAAAAGGTCTAATCAGTTAAGCGATCAATCAATCAGGCAATTCATACGGATAGATCGACCGAATAGCTTGGCAAGCAAAACAGAACAAAGAGCCTAACATGCAGTCACTTAAGTGCCGTATTTATTCGATCAAACGTTGCGGCGTTTATTGAAAATTTAGATTTATCGAAGCGGCTTTTATTCAAAGGCGGCGATTATTTGAGGAAGGCGTATTATTCAAGATCATTTTTTTAAACATCGACAACAATTACGGAATAACATTCGAAAATATTATGTGAGACATAAACTTGTTTTTAGTGCTATCGTCCGATTTCCTAATATTTCATTTTCTTATTAACGTTGAGTAAAAATTGAGTGCGGTGATTATTTGTTTTTTGATACGCATGCGCTTTTAAGTTGTACCTTGCAGCACCTCACCACCCCCGCGTGGCTATTGGTAAAACCCTGGGCAGGTACATTGGCCAGGGCCAAGCAAAAACGATGAATTCGATCAGGCGTAAATCGAATGATAAACTATGAACTGTGCTACACCAGCCAGCACAACGGTTGTAGAGAAACCAATCACAGAGAAGCACCGTGTTTAATGAGGAGACTGGTTACCATTCGACTCCAATGTATACAGTCGAAACGATTTCACATCAAAATTGATTATGAAACATTCGATGACAAGTACCACAGAAAGAACTACTGACCATGAAACTCTCGTCTGACATAATACAAACCTCCCTTCTCAATGCCTCGCCTGAAAGCACGATTCAAACACTGCGAGTCCAAAATCGCCTCAAATTCTGATTGACTCCAGCAAAATTTGAAGTCATACCGTTTGGCTGAAATCGCTTGTAAATAAAGGCAAACTGCTACAAGTACAAGAAGTTTGATACTGCAAGACATGGTGCTAAGAACGGGAGAGAAAATTACACGGGTTAATATCAGAACAAACCATGTCCTTCCCAGGCAAACTCAAGAGTAATTTGAAATAAAAATCATTGCAAATAATGACAGCGTGCTCAAAACAAAATATATTATTAAAAACCCGAAATAATTAGAATTTCTTGATTAAATTCTTAAGGTATATTTTTCCATGGATATAATACTAGGCTATTTCTTCCTGGTAGTTCTGCTGCAACATAGATCATTGGGACAGAGTTGTCTGAGGAGAAAATATGGGAAAGCTGGTCCTTTCCTTACCCCCCGCCTATGCTCTGCCCATTCTCGTTACATAGGTAATAATTCCAGTTGATCCAGGGGCTCCTGCTGATCTAACCTTTCCGCGAAGTATTTTTGGGCAATAAAGAAGTCTATGTGGCGTTGCTCTCTCTAAAATTGTCTGTTTGCTTAGCTTGCCATATTGCAATATCAATCTTACAAGGAACTGATCCTTTCATAGTATAGAAGGACGGGCTTCAATTTGGTCAAGCTATTCTTGTGAGAAGTAAACATTGGAATAGTATAATAAGCTGGCCAAATATTCACAGTTTATCTATAAAAGTACCACGAAAGTTGAAGAAAATACATTAACTTTTAATTACTGATTACAATCTCAACGCCGAATGCACATGCATCTAGTGGTTAGCCAGATTTAAAAAAATGGTTTTTTTTCAGTATGAGTCCAAACGTAATCAACTCTTGTTGAAATCTCAGTGGACACCCTTCAAAGGCCCCGTAGTACGGATGTTGAAACAGGTGTTTTTCGGAGGTTTTACCGTTTGACGTCTGAAGTTATAACATGATCGATACCCACTGTTCAGAACAGAAGTAGAAGATGTTAGGCCGACGTATATGTGCGCGGCTATTATCAACAACATCTCACATGAACATTGAAAATCTTCCATTACATGATTCAAAAGAAAACAAAAGTTGTGTATTTTTTTTCTTACCCGAGTTAAGCGTGCATTCAATCCTGCATGTATTTAACTAATGGCCTTAAAGCCAACAATGCCGGCCACTATAAGCTTCACAGGTCTACATTAAAATCGTTTCCCGTCTTGTTTTCTTAACCGATTGGATAGTAACATATGAGGTCAATTGAAAATCACGGTTTTAGTAAGTTTTTAGTTTTCATACCTTTACTTTTAAGCGTCCCTCGGTCCATCTAAATATTTTCACCAAATTTGAGACGATTTTTATTCAAAAACCGCTTTAAGTTTTCCGATGGCGCCAAAATATCCTTTAATGCGAGACTAATGGTTGGGTAAACGAACAAGAGCATTTATCTGATCAACAGATAGATGCTCTTTAATCTACCGATGGAATGTCATCTTTACAATCACTATCTTTCGATTTCCAAGGGATCTTTCGCTTTCGTCCCTCTTATAATTAAAAGTGTAGACAGAATTTTTTATTAACGACCGTGTTCGGTCATGCGAAGTAAACGACACTATCTCGCCTTTTGAAAAACAAAGGTACACGCTTTTGAGAATTATTAAACATGGATCTAGGTTAAGTGCCTTGTCTTTTGTTTCCAAACAATCACGTTTACAGACTGGTTTACGGTTCGTTGGATAAATTTTCCCAGGGATTTGTTATTTTTACATTGTATTTTTTTACCAAACTTTCGTGACAGAGATCTTAAAATGATTTTAAAAATTTGTGGCGTTTGTCGGACTGTCTTGGATTTTTCTTTCAACAGAACGATAACTTGACCCAGTAGGTGCCATTGTAACAAACATGGAGTGAACGTTGTTAAAAAAAATCATTCAATATGCCCTTCGATTTTAACGAACCATTCAAAGATCCATTCAAATTTGTATCAAACGAGACCGAAAAAAAACCTTTCGAGATCTTAACGTTGATCCTTGTTATTAAACGCACACATAGTAAAGGTGTAAAAAATAAATGAAATTACGTGCATTTTGGAGATGAAGAAGTCATAGATCAGATCGAAACTTCCTTAAGAGCGAGATGAATTACAAAGCAAAGTATACTAACGAGATAATGTACTCAGTAAATCATAAATTTCTTGCAAACTGGACAACTCAAGAGCGATCTTAAGCAACTTATGATAGAAGTACCTACCTTTTATCAGCACAGCGCAAATAGAGCACTAAGGGATGACTTTTCACCGTGATTGTCGCCTAAGTTATCGTAAAGATAAATATAATTAAATTTACCAGTATTATGCCTGAAGGCTTGGTTCCGAATTCCTTAAATTGCTTGAACAAAGCCTACGAAGAGTAGTCACCATGGAGACAAAGACCACCAGAATCAAATGTGGAAACGATCAATTAAATCTAGGGATTGTTTTTATAGGACACCGGGCTATCTTTTGTCAACAGATACATTTTTATTTCCTATGAAACAATTATTAATTTATGTTTACTTGGCGTGGTTCCGTCGTTGCGTTCGCGTTAGAATTGTGATGGACTTTTTTTTGTCCGTTCTGGAAGGTTCTTGACGGGAAATTTATCAACGATTCTTTGATAGCTTAATTTAGCAGGGTTTATTAAATTAATTCACCGAAAAAAGACATACATAAACAGCGTTACTAATGACCTGGCGTGATATTTGATATCTCTTTAATAAAGCGTCTTTCAAATATGACTGGACTATGTTTTATTTCTAATTATTTTGAAAAAAATCGTCGATCTATTTGTGACAAAGAAGCTCCTAACGTCCGGTTCCTTTTTCAGCGAAGAGTTTCCGTTGAATAAAATTTCCATTTTTTTTTTGTTCTAGATGTAGTAAATGAATAGAAATGCGTGTAAAAATTAAAACAATTTCGTCAAGAATTCTTTAAAAGAATAAAGCCACATCTATTCTAGAAGCAAAAGGTTTTTCCAATTTTGGGATTTATCAAAATTGAAGATTTTTAGCTGGAAAAAATTGAGCTTCTTTTTAATGCCACGTGCTGCTTTAATCAAGCAATAAAGCTGGGTAAATGTAGGTCATTCATTAAGAGGCAGTTTTTTTAATTGCAATAATGAATCGAAGTAATGAGGCCGGTAGAAATCCTCAATTTCCGAGGTAAAACTATTAAAAGTATTGGCACCGCCAAAAGATTGTGTAATGTTTTCCAAAATTCATACTTCTTCGTCTAAAATACTGAAAAAAAAATCAGTTGAGCTAAGAAAGAACTATAGTTCATTGGGTGAAAATTTCAGCCTGATTTTATTAGATCATCGTAGTCAACCCATATCCATTCAAAGTTAGCCATTCTTGTTCCTTTGTGCTTTAACAATTTCAATTATCATAAACATGACCCATATATCGCCAAAACAAATTGCTATGTCCCTTCACCATCACTACACCTTTTGTTGAGTTTCTATGTTGTTCACAGAATATTTGTCACGCCATTTGTCACAGCCAGACAATAAAACCTCCATTTCTCCCTTAAGTATGATCAAGTTGCAATGATAAAAATTAGGTATACATAAGACACACATTTTTTTTCTCATCTTTTATGAAGTGGAATTCACCATTAAAAGGAACGTGAAGGAAATTTTAAAAAGTTCCCTCCCAGTCCCTACTCCGTTTTACCAGCAAGGCTGTGAGAAATGAGGAGTCTCTGTTTACCATGACGCACAGAGAACTGAGAGCAATGTCGGCCCAAGTGGTTGCACAAGAGCGCGACCGAAATATCTGGCTAGCGCCAATACATGTTCCTGTTATTAGTTAGGCGATATCTAGTGTTGTGGAAAAATAAAGTCAGAACAATGGACTTTAATCAGAATACGGAGAGAACGGTATCTTGGTTGTTTTTCAAATGTTTATCTTCAGACCTACAATAGTCTCCGACGAAATCCTAGGAAAAAACTTTTAAGAAAAATTCCTTAAATTCTATTCAGATGCTGCACAGTGTTCTAGAATTTCCTCTGCTCGGCAGCCACTTTCATTACAACATTCTTCCATAAACAATCCGTAATTTGTAACGTAAGTAATACGTTTTTGTAGAAATCGTCTTGCTTTCTCGGGAGATTGCAGAATATTTTCACCTATGGGGAAACAAAATTATTACTCAACAAAAGCATTTCAACATTGTGAAAATATATTAGGTAAATAGGATGAAAAAAAAGAGATCATCGTCTGCGGGGGCAGACGAACCCAAGAGGGAAGGATTGCAAGGACTATAATTTGCATCTAAATTTTATCAAAATGATTACATTTTTACGCAACTCACATAGAAATTAAAGACAAACTTGCCTGACTTCCTCGTCGCTCGTTTTATGAGGTTCACGCAGTTTTTAGAAAGAAGCCTGTCTATCTCTGAAGTCGAGTAACACAGTTTATAATGAGCTTCATTTCCATCGTCTAGTTTGGCATTTGAAGCAATGACAAATGGCATCTCAGCACAAAGCAAGAAAATTATCAATATCAGCAAGAAAACGGTTGTTGTGAGACAAAGAAACCTCCTGAAAGACGAAACAAACCGAGACAGACTGTTAATTTAGGCTAACGAAAAATGTTTAAAATTTCTCACTAAGTAGCTCGCGGGAAAGGCGTCATTGTTTCGCGTTTTTTAGGTCCGCTGCAGCAGCGCCAGGAATGAGTCATTATCTAGCGCTCCTAAACTGGAGTGTCTCTCGCCCTCTCGCTTTCCTCGCAAATTCCTGAAACTCGCCTCTCCCCGACTGAAAAATGCAGAGTCATCATCGAGTGCTCTGGTTCGGTTTATCGAGGATGTTCGTGTTCCAGTGTTCGTGACGAGACAAATAATTTCCTTTTTTATTCGACGACTGATTATGAAATTTAATCGTCTCTCATTTCCAATTCAAAAGAATGAAGTAGCACAATTCGGAAGAGGCGTCGCGTAGAAACAGCTGGTGACGTCATTACGTGTGGTGCGCGTTCTAAATTGAATGGACAACAGGAACGGCCGGCTACCTGTAATGTGTTAATGACAATTATCCAAAGGCTTTTTTTCATTTGTCATTATTGCCTCGAATCCTTCTTCATAATGAGCCAGAAAAAAAAATTGGTTGGAAAATGTAAACCTTAGCCTCACACGGTACTCCTATACAATAATGAATGTTCTCCTTCGGTCAATTTTTTAACTCGCTAATTCAGCGGGAGAAAAAACAAAGCCTTTTTTTTTCTTTCATGATAGTGAACGCTTTTCGTTTCGATGAGAAATGACTGAAAAACTTTAATAAGTTCAAGAGCCAAAATAACTGGAAATTGAAAGCCTCGTTTACAATGTATACTACAGTGAGACAGAGTTCCGGGAAATTTGAGTCAGTCAATGAAATTGTGAAAGGTAAAAGTTAGTGCGATGCCATAACGTTAATGGTTCTCATCTCATCGTAAAATGAAATCCAAAACGACAACTGTGAGGCGTAATGTTAACTAAATAAAGCCCAAAATAAAAACGTATACAACTTACATGATCGTCAGTCCTTGAAAAGATGCCGATCACTTCAACACTGCCTTCAATGACAAGGATCAACGAAGAACATAAAATTACTGGACCGTTGTTTGGCAGTTGTGGTCTTAATACAAACGCCATCGAGCTTCATAACTGACAACCTTTATTGTTCGATTGTATCTGATAACAAAACTTATTGTCCACGTATTTCATAATTAGATGTTATCGTGAGCGGTGTATACAGCTGTTTATCACACGTGGGAGAGATTCTGTCTCCGCCAAAAGATTATTTCGAGCCATTAGGAATTATATTAAAAAAATTCACACTAAATAAAGCATATCTGTTGAAGCTAATAGGATGATTAAGTGCATTATTTGATAAATGATTTACCTGAAGTAAGTTCCAGAAACTGATATGCTTCTTAATTTACTTTATGAATAATTCAGGCAAAAGCAGAACTAAAAAAAGTTCTTAAATTTTATGAGCAAAATCTGATAAAGGAGTAACTATTATTCTACCTTTAAAACTGGTGGAGTATTTTCATCGTAAAAGAAATATGTATATATATATAATTCTATTCCACGATGCTTTTATTTCAATAGATTTTAAATGTCTTTAGTATCCAGAAGATAAAATGAGACAGTTTTCTGAATGTGATGCAAGACTCCCTTAAAAATTGATGATCATGAGTCAGTGTTCCCGAATGTTTTTTTTTCTGAAGTGATCGATATTTATATACATAGAGAGAAATCTTGATATTCTAAATTTAGGATTATATGTTGATTTTGTGGGTTCTTGTCAATTAAAAATAAACAGATCGATAAGGCAGTCTTTAAAAGGCAAAACTGTAAAAATATATCGTCGATTCGTTATTTTTATACCATAATTTTCTAGTAAATTTTTGGTGTAGTATAATATCGAAGAGAACATATTATCGATTTGTTAACTTCATATGCTTACTTGCGAAACTTTGGCGTGGCTTAACCTCTTTGAAAACGCTCACCTCGCTCGTGACTCAATTCTGGAAGAGTTCTATTAATATCTTACTCCACAAACCTTTACTTCCTTCCAATGAATATGTTTTTTTCCCATTCATGCCTCAAGTAAAACCTTTATAGGGGCTTTTTTTTACATGTTTATTTTTCCTTCACTTCCATGCTGTGCTTTAAAACGCTTTAAAAGCGCTGACTTAATATAAAAAAAGGTTTGGACCCCAATCGTTCCGTGTGGTTTTCTCGTTAAATTGCCGGCAAACAAAATAATATATCTTTTCTTAATTCATTCTATTAGCGTCACATGCCTCCACTAAAGGAAGTTTCTGTTCAGAATCAATCTTTCAAAGCAAGAAATTTAAAATGTTTTCAATAAAAAGTACGTCATCACTCGACCAAAATTGGAACCAAACTGATAAACACCCACACACAGGTTTATTACACAATTTCAGCAAATACAAATGTGCCAATTTAAACACAAAAACAACATTTTCGTTAACTTCCGTTCGATGTCGAGAAAATGGTTTCATGATATCCCCTAAAGTTCAGAACTTTCTCGCTCCAGTTCCAACCGAAACAGCGATGTTTGTAAACCATCTTAAACAGTTTCTCTCGCTGGGGGCTCTATTATAATTTTGATGATTATTACGACTTTCAAGCATACATAAATTCTATGCAAACACACAGCATTCTTCAATTTTTTGCTTTAGGACACTTTTGGAACGGTAAATTTACACTTCTGAGAGGCCTTTAAGTTATTGTACATTCCGGCGAAAAGAAAGCCGAGCTTTTAATCATCCTTTGTCAAAACGTAGAGAAAAAGAAGATAAAAATTGAAATGATTTTTCATTCGAGCAGGTTTTTATTTAAAGGCATGATTTTTTTATGTTAATGTTTAAATTTAAACCCAATGGATCCACTTATCCTTTCAATTACTCTATGCTTTGTTGGTGAAACAAATGATGTTACACTTTTAGGCCTTATCCATCGGTTAGTAAAAACACACTTCCTTTATTTGAGAACGTTTTGAGAATTAGTCTCTTTAAACTAGACCATCAATTCACGTTTAAAAGTGAGGCATTGAGTTTTGTAAAAGCTTTATGTCACTCTGATGGTTTTACAGAAGGATCATCCTTTGTAACTTTGGAAAGGATCATCCTCCAACATTACCGGAAAAAAAAAGAAAACAGATGCTCTACATAGCAATTATCTATCAAAACTAATCTAAAAAGCGTCTTTACAGCGAATGACCAACTGTGCAATTTATTAGTTAAGGCTTCCTGTTATTACTGAAAGTCCTTAAACCGAATCAACCGGACGATGATAGAGATTGTTGGTTTTCATTATGATAAACAATAGCAAATCAAAAGACAATTGAATGTGTTCAAAGAAGCAAGAGGAAGGATCTTCGGGATAATCGGAAATATCAGTAATGGAAGCAGAGACATCAGTCTATACTATATCTAAATTTGAATTCATTTTACGGTTTTGTGTATTATGTGGTAATCAAACATGTATCTGATTTGGATCATTTTTTACTGATCGGTTATAGTCTGTCTCGCTCTTTTACACATAAGAAAAGCAATACGACGTTTTAAATTTGTGCCAATACGCCTATATTTCTCAATCAGCGTTTCACGAACTTCTCCCTCGGGAATTTTTCGCGTGTTATGCTTTTCTTGGCTACACGATCAATGCTTGACAAAAGGCACAGTGAAACTGATCACGTGTGGCGGAAAAACAATGTGGTCCAGCGGTTTCCCTGGAAGAAACTTTTGCCTACGATCTCAACGTATTTCCATTGCTGTACTGGTGGTAGAGGTAGCGTGAATAGATAGAACTTAGCCAGTTTTCTGTAAGTTCCAATCAATATGTTAGGAGCGAAAATTCAGGGTGCATGAAGATGTTTACAATAGTAATACATCGATGATTTTTTTTTTGTTGGGCGCAACTGTGCGTTACGCGCAAATGGACTTCGACTAACATTTTTCAGACAGGAAAAGCGAGCTGAGGGTGTATACGTAGTTAGCCCAAAGAAATGTGGTTTTGTATGGCAGTATTCCCATCGATTTAATAAAATGTCACATTTCTACGATAAGGGATTGTAGTCAAAACCTCAATTGTTAATATCATCTTAAGAGTAGGAAAATCAAATCGAACTAAACCTTACTCAAGCTCCAATTAACATGATTAACAAAAGTGATAATTGTCATGCAATGCAAAGCTAATTGTGACGTCATGCGCGCACTTCCTCCTAAGCCTGTGTTTTAGGAAAGCGTCGAACATGGCAGAGAGACTACGGCAAAAAATCACGGAATTAAAAGTTCGTTTGGATCAGGCCGAAGCCAGGAGTGAGTGTTTTAAGGAGAGCTTACATGAAGTTGACAAACGAATCGACTGCGCCGAAGCTACAGCAGCAGCGTTGCGGCAGCAAGCCACATTGACTGAGGTTGAGATAAAGAGGATATCGTCTCGTTTGGAGAATATCGAAGGACAGTTGTGGTCAACTGGCGAGACTTTGAAAAGGAACGAACGGGCAATGGACAATCTAGCCAATGAGGAATTTCAAATGAACGCAAAACAGAACACACTGCACGAAAAATTGAAAACTGTAAAAGACTCAGTGACCATCAACGAATCCAAGTTGATCGAAGCCTCTCGTCGGATCAAAGTGGTTGAACTGCAGAAGAAGCTCGCAGAGAAACGTTGTCAGCGTTTGTCAGAGCTAGAAGGTCAGCTTCACGCCAGATTGTCAGAAGTCAACAAAACCGTGGAGGAGTTGCAGTCGAGTCCACGACAGGGGATGAGTGAAGAAGAAGAACAGGCCCTCAACGAAAAAATCGAAGATCTTAAAAACAGCTACATAGAGTCTGAGGCTAAAGCTGAATTGGCGCAAAGAAAAATAGCTGCGCTAAGCCACAAACGCAACGAACTGCAGAACGAACTTCAGGAAATCACAGAGAAAAAACAGTGGGTGAAAGACGAATTAAACAGGGTGTATAATGACATTGGTCTATAACCACATAGAAACTAAGCATGGTACATACTGGTTTTCCTGTTGTCAAATTGTAATGATCGTGGTATGTTAAATCAATTATTGACAAAATGTCATCCGTCAGAGGTTTGCTAAGCTTTGCTGTCACGCATTTTAACGTAACTCGTGGATGGTCGGTGAAGTCACTTTCGCGCTATAAAGACAAGACCTTAAAAAATATAGTCCACATACAATAAAAATACACTTCACTCCAAAAGAATTGTTTTTGTCATTGAGTTTTTTCCATATCTTTTCCTTTTCTAAGACATAGTTTACTAACCGTTTAACTCCCAAGAGCTAACTGTTAATGTTTCCCTCTAGCTGCTACACATTTCCTTGGAATTAATTACGAGGATTTGGTGTTAGATCGAGGTAACTTCTACCTGATAAGTTTAAGTACTCTCATTACCTATTTGTTGGATAACGTATGGATATTAAAATGAAAAGTTACATCTTAATCACTTCTCAGAGTTTAAGGGTTAAAGAAGTAACCTACTATGACATACAGGAGTGATACAGGAGCAAGATATTCACAGCAACGTCCAAAACCTCAATGATTTTCCTAAAAAGTTAATACGTGCCGTGAGTGGAGCTTCTCGTCTTCTTGCATGGGACCATTTCCGTTGATTTGTGGATCTTCTGATTGATATCCTTCCGGTATCCTTTCAGGTGGGTGCTATTTTATGATGTCTGAATGTTTTTTTTTGTTGTTGTTGTTGTTGCTTTGTGCAAAATTACCTTCAAACTGAATGAAACCACTTATTATTAGCTTGCTCGAGGAATCATAGCACTTTTCCGTCTACGATCGTGAGATTGTTCTGTGTTCGCGTTTACTAAACACCCCGCAGTTCCTATCTACTTGTCTGGATGATAACCTGAGAGAGTAGAAGATTTGTGAACTGATAACAATCGCGTCCTCTAATTTTCCAGGTTTAGTAAGTACAAAAAAACTTCAAACTGGAAGGATAAGCTAAAAATAAAATTTTTAAGATGAATAATCCTGAAGAATCTCCTTAAGGTTGCAATGCACCCTATAGAAACCACCTTGTGAAGAGTCCGCTGGTAGGCAGGTATTGCCGACCTTATATTGATTTTTATCCGATACAAGCTTTTGAACAAAACCGATTATAAATTACTTGACTTTCTTATAAGCATGAAGGTCAGTTCCAGACCATAATTCGCCAAACGTTCAACCTGACCGGCCGGTGGTATGGGCATGTCACATGTGCGGGTACCAGATTTAAATAAAGAAATGTTAACCTGTCTCCTAAAAATATATACTAGTATAAATAAATATATACATCTAATTTTTATTATAGAGCTTGTACAATTTATTGACGATCTATAAACGAAAGTTTGCCTTCTTGCATTGCTAGGCTAAGTGTCTGTTAATTCTTTTGAGCTGTTTGTAAAGGAGCTTAACCTGGAATTAAATCTTAGAAATTGAGAGTGGTTGCTCAATATAATAAACATTTCAAACCTCCTACTTCACTTTCATCTCTTCTAGAAGAGCCATATACATGAGAGGCCAGATATTTTGACAGAAAATATGACCTAAACTTCTTGTAATTGATGGTATTTTTTTTAGCGGGAATGTTTCTTACTTTTCATGGAGGTTAATGTGCAGTTTTCAGCGCTCACGAATTACGTATCGATACAGACGACTCGAGAAAGGACTCTTTAACAACAAAATTACTGATCCTTGTACTCTAGGCTCTAACTTACAAAACACCACACTGATTGTTCGAGAAATAAGGCCGTTCACTCTGTCAGGCATCGCAGCTTTTGATATCTTCGAAGGCAAAAGAGCGGGAAATGTTTCGCGCCATTATCTCACGAAGGAGGTATGTTGTGATGCGATATACCTGGAACTTTGCCACCCTATCTCGCTCTCTGATTGGGTGATGCAAAGGGCGTGAACAATCAGCGCGTTGAAATGCCAAAAACAAGATAAATCTATCCCATGACGTCATGTTTCTTCTCTAAGAGAGCAATATGGTGGAAGTGAATTTCCTAGGTAAGTTTTTCAAATCCCACTAAAATAATAATACTTAAAAAACTGGCGTAGTTCTGACGATCATTCCAATTTTGATGCAACTCTCTTTTCACAGATGCTACTTCTACTGTAGTTATCTATGTAATAGCGTACGAATCAAAAATCAAAAGGTCACATTCGGGAAAAACGCGGTCATCGAGAGCTTCTTCTACTGGGTAATATTATTCGCTTTGCAAAAACAAAATAGTACTAGAAAATGTCCGTTTTCGTTTTCTCTTGGTTTTCATTTCCCGAGCTCTTTCTTATCGCTGATTTTTAACTTAGTCGATTTGTTGCGGGAGAATTGGACCATGAAGGGCTCCATTTCTATACAGGTGGCAAATCTAATTAGAAAAAAGAAATATCTGGAGAAATTTCCTTCTTTTATGGCCGGAAGGACCTTGATTTCCCTTCGGTATGTACAGCGAAGTAGACAAACCTTCCAGCTAATGCAAGTGTTGTTCGTTAACGTTTTCCACGTGCTCGTACAAACGTAGGATGGTTGAGTGGCTGCCCAAACAAAATTTAAGAAACCTAACTTTACTAATGGTAACTGGATAAAGGAAAACACTTTCACGCATTCCAACTTCATTTTTTAGGGCAAAATGGAGCAGTCCAGCCAGAAATATTTTCTTTAAAGTAGAAAAGTATGAATAATATAAATATAACACTATAAGGTTTAGCGGGCCTGATCTGAGACTGAAAAATCATCGCATAAGACACAAGCAGGGCGATCATTTCATTCATGCTTCGACGGGCATTGAGATAGACGTGGTGAAAATTTCAACTAAACTGCTCCAGTTATAAAATCATTGTATCCCGTTGAAAAAATGATCACAGAAAACGCTTCCCAAGACTTTCTATGCAACTAAAAGAACTCAACCAAAACGCAGGTAGTAATAACCTCTCTCAAATTCACCTAAAAACAGTTGGGCTCTACGAAAAAGCCAAACGCGAGCTAAGTAAACTAATCTACTTTCTATGATACATTCAGATAAGTGATTGACAAGACATGAGATTACGGGAAGACATGAGGTACTGGTGCCTTGTGCTGTTCATCTCATACCTGGCTACTGTGAACGCTGAAGGTGAGTTTTGTTCACTTAATTACCAACGGTCGTGAGGTGACCTATCTGTTACTATAACTTAATACAAATATGCTTTGATCCCTTTGCTTACTTTAGATGTGAACATTAATCAGTATCCTTTTGGTTTCTCTACCACCTTTAATTTTGCTCACCAATTGACGAAGAGTAGTGGAATTTACTTATCCCCTCTAATTCATATTTCCTATTTACGACAAATGCAAAAGGCCCACATGGTTGCACATGCGGTTAAAAGGTAGACAGAAAAAGTTAAAATTCTCATCAAATTAGTTTTATCACGATTTTTTCAGATCTGTGCGATGTCACTTACAGGGTTATTAGAAAAAAAAAGGATCCACATCATATGGTCAGATTAAAGTAAAGGATTAGGAAAACAGTAAGAAATGAATCCAAACAAAAAAGAAGGAGAACTAAAGCTGTTCTTATTTTTACCAATGCATATGAACATTGGATCCTTCCTCGTTAGAGTAGAGAGATACATTCGAGGTTTTCTTGTATTTCAGTTCAATGGCCAGGTGGTACGTACGGTTTACCTATGCCTACCACAGGCTGTCCGTCAGACGGAGTCACTGAATGGAAGACAGGTTGGACTTATCATGACACAGAGGACGACAATAATGAGAACCAGCGGTCAAACATTTTCCACATGCCTGGGAACTTTTCAGCGCATGGTATTCAGCAGAAATTCTGCTTGAAAGAAAGTAATAATGGAGACAGTGGCAGCGAAATTTGGCCCGAAGGAAAATACTGCCTTTATAAGAAAGGTAAGAGAGTTTTTAAAAAACCCAAGCAGAGTTATCCGTACCTGTCTCATCATGTATTCAATTGTTCAGAGTCAAAACAATATTTGCCTTTAAACTTGATTATCTATGATCAAGCTGTCGCAGATTGTTACTCTTTTACTTTGTTCGCTGAGTCAACTGGTTGCGTTGAATTGTTTTTCAACTTGTTGTTGAAAACGTAAATAAACCGCCTCGGTCAGCGAGTTTTGAGAAGCTGATTTTTCAAGTGCTAACCATTCTTCGAACAATTTTGGGTTTCAATCACCCTCCCAAATGGCCCAGCATTGTTTCTTTGAAGCTAACGACAACTGTCATTTAGTAAATTTAACTACCAAGATAATCGGCGGTAAGACATGAAGATAGACAGTCAGACAGACAGACAGGCAGACAGACAGACAGCCGTGAATGCGTTACAACCAGCATAAACTAAAACATGGAACGTGAATGTTATTAAAATAACGAATGATGATGTTTTCCCTTTTCAGGTGTATGTCCGAACGGACTAAAGGAAGGCTTCATCCGCTGGGACGACGAACAATCAGAAATAGACTTTCAAGACAAACACTTCGGAGACCTGCCCGATGGAGTCTACGAGAAATCCCACACAACAATAAAATACTGCTGTAGTACAAAGGGAAACGTCAACAATCCAATTCAACTCCCCGCTCTGAGACCCTTCTATCTTCTCACCTACGACTCAGCCCAGTGTCAGAAAGTGGCGGGAACCAAAGTTACAAGCGAGTTCATCAAGTTTGATGATGATGATCAAGGGAATACTGATGCAGCAGATGGGGCACATCCTTATGGACCCAGTGAAGACCCCTTTAACTTAAAGATTTACTATTGTTATTATGAGCCGGGTAAGTGTACAGCATGATTCAGGCAAAGAGGAAATGTCTGCTTTGTAATGCAGCGTAATGGATCAAATAGGTAAAGGTATCCTGCGTAAAAGGCTGACTCGCATAGCTGCCAGAACGAATCCTTATTTTGATAGTATAGAACGACCACGGGGTTTTAACAATAGGGACCTAAAGCAAACCACGACGGCGACGGCAAGGAGGACATGGAAAAACAAAAGATCTAATTGTATGAACAATAGCGCAGCACGTGCGTTGTAAAACTTTGTACATTTCTTAGCCGTCCTCTGTAAAACAACAACGTGAAATCACCAAAATTTGCGTCGCCTGCGAACCGAGACCACGACGGAAATTATTTTAATTTCCGTCTGGAGCTCAACGTTTCTTTTATACGTTATGCTGAAGTTGAGGTGTGGCGCCATATGAGACCGTGAACAAATGCAGCCATTTTTGAAATTTTGATTGATGGCAAAAATTCATTTTTTAATCGAAGTCTTCCTTGGCGTTGCCGTCCTCACTGCTAAAGGTCCCTAATATCTATTGGTGGATGTTGGTAAATCGCTGATTACCCTTAGTGTGTCGTCAGAGAATTTGCTTGTACCCAGTTATACCCCAAGATGGAGAGAGGCACAGTAAGAGGCTATGGTTTTTTTTAGAGAACGCATCATAGGCACCGAGTAATGTGACCATCGAGTCTCCCAGAACATAGATGCTAAAGGAATAAAGAACCTCCCCTCCTCCCCTCCTCCCCTCCCCCCCTTCATTTTGGGGAAGGCATATACAAGACACCATTAAATTTTAGGAATGTGTATATTTCCTTTTCAATTTTCGTTCTACTTAAAGATCAACAAAGATTTTATGGTTTTTCCAAAAAGACGACTGCTTGTGAAAGTCTATGAAAGGCCGCGATAACTAAATTGACTGATGACAACTGATCGTTGATTTACAGGGCAAGAAAGTGAAGATGATTTAGGAACCGGAAAGGATGTTAAGAGCAAGGTAGGGATTTCAAATTAAGCATCATACAAAGTTTCGTTTTAGCTTTCGTACAATCTTGTTCTTTGTTTCTGCATCCTTATGCCAGAAACGGTTGAATGTTTTCCGTCATTTCTGCCAAATTTGAAACCAACAAATGAGTAGCACAAATGAAACAATTTGCTCAATTCTTCTTTCTTAATTGAGTGTCAAATGACAAAAAGCCAAAAACCACAACTAATGAAATCACAATAGCTGATCAGAACAAAGTAATTACATGCCCGCTGCCTGACGTGCGTAAAGACGCGGATAACGAAGTCGCAGTTTGTTCAAGTTTGCATCTGCTTGATAGAGAAGTTGGAGCAAATTTTCGAAGCCAAATACTGAGTGAAGTATGGCAAAATAACAAATTCTACGCAAAACGGACAAGCCTTGAAGATGAAGCTCGCGCTTTATTGAACTAACATTGACAACGCCAGCTCTTTATCCTTAGATTCCAACAGGCAAGACTTCCAGTTCTGGTTTAGCCGTAGCCATCGGATGTGGTGTCGCAGGAGCCATTGTGGGAACCGCCTCTATTGCATTTGCCACGAAAAGAATCCTTGCGCACAGAGCACGCGCAGCATATGACCTCATTGATGATCCACAGCCTGACGGACCATGATGACATGAGAAGTCACCACCCAAATAGGAAATAACAATGTTCATTCGTCCCTAAACATTACTTCACCAAATAGAAGTGAAGAGTTTGTTTGTGGGAAAGAAAATAAATAAGAGTCACCTGACTTTCTTTCCCTAAAAATCAAACCTCGCTATGAACTCGAAATTAAACAAGTATTCTTTTTTGGCGTTTTTTTGGTTAAACACATTTCGTACCCACAGGCAGAAATATCAGAAATGGATCGAAATTATTAACTCGGAGTTAGGTACCGTAAATATCGCAGTTTGTCATTCGTTTCTCGTGGTTTTAAAAATTTCCTCAAGGAAGGAGAATTGACGTAGCTAGTCGAACGTTTTATGTAAAAAGACGAAGACGAGTCGACAGTAACTAAAAAATTGCTCTGGCAAAATTTACTGACAGTAGTATGGTAGTTTACGTTCATCGTTAAAAGTTGTAACATACGTTAAGAGTTTCATTTTCTAACATGCCGGTTGCACACGCTTGTAGTGTCAGATGTTCTCAAAAAGTGACGTAGAAAACGGTTCTGTTAGGTTTACCAACAGGAGGGTAGTAGAAGAGAAATAGTAAGGTTGTATATAGCGGAACCAAACTAGTGACATATGACAGTTGCTTTAATTAGTCTGCAGCGACGACAATGGTCTGAGTTTGTTATACAATGTACAGTGACGGTCACAGAGGAGAATAAACTATTCTTTTTAGACGAAATTTACGCTCCATAGTTTGCATTATAGAACTAAAAGACTCAAATGAACTGAAGAGAAGAATGACAATAGCGTACCTGCCAAATTGCATGTGACCAAACTTCCCGCCAAATTAAGGGTCACTTAACCCCACTTCACGTGACAGTGAATGAAAAAACTCCAAAGTCACGCCACATGAGGCTGGGCCGACCTGGGTGTTGGCTCATGGATTAATGATAAACGAAATGATTCTTAGTTGAAAAGGGCGTTTTCTACGGGTACGAACATGCGGGAACTTTTAGGGAGAACATTCTGGTAAACTTTTCAGGTAAGGTCAAATACAATTTACTTCATTTCGAAGGCTATTAATAAGAAGTCTGCGGTACATTAGAAATTTGTCTTAAAAAAAGAAACGGCATAACAATGAAACGTTTCGACGCCTGCGAAAACTACTAATCTATCTCAGATTCCGTTAAAAACAATTGAAAATGAAAATACAGTTGCGACACCAAGCTTAACGAACAGCGCGTCTTGGAACTATGTGAGCATTTTGTCAACATCTTATCGCAAATATTTGCCAATGGCCGTGACAGTACGAAGGTTTGATAAAGGCATTGGGCGGATGTAAGACCTTCATGGCAAGACTGATTGAAATTACGATAACTACAGAAATTGCCAAGTCAATGGCAATCTATAATTGTTCTTATGTTCAGACGAGCAACTCCTCAGTTCTAGCAACAATTCATATCCTAGTAAGATGCCCAATCCTTTAGGAAGCAGGTTTTGCAATTGATATTTGTACTGTGCTTGAAAAGGTATACTTCCCACCTCAGCTTAACAAAGCGCCCGGCTACACATATAAAAAGGCTAAGTAAATTTTGGAAGGCTTTTTGTACCGTTATTCCAGTACCGGACACCCCAAGTAGCTCCAAAACCTTCCTGTTTTACGTGCACCGTTGAAAAAAATAACTGTGTGCTGCCGAACTGTATGTGTTAACTGTAACCAGAATTAGTCACTGGCGAGGAGAGAGTAACCAATGAAAGGATTTAAATATCCTATTTAAAGGAAGTGAATATTCATTCGTTTGCCTTGTACTCAGGCCACACGCATGCACTACTTGCATTTTTTCCTAGTCATTCAATTATTGTTTGGTCCAAGTTCTGTTCTTTTTCAAATACAATAACACCTCAGAAAACATCCTCGTGTGAAATAGGTATCTTCGATAAAGATCACGACGGTTCAATCTTAGCACTATAAAAAAAACAACAAACAAACAGACGTGTGCGGTCAAATCATTACTGCCGCTTTATGATAAGTGAGATTTTAGTGAGACCTGTTTCTTTTTTTTTGAGGGGTTGCTACACAGATTTCCTCGACCTTCAGTCAAATTACTAAACTAAATAATTGCGTGACTTTCCTCTTTAAACTGACAAATAAATAATTGCACAATTAAACAAAATCTCAAGTTCACATGCCATGCTGTCGGTACCAGGACTAACCACACGTTGTTTACTCCCTCGCACTTCTCCATTTACAGTGTCGACTGCCACAACATGAAGATTACTTGATATCACTGGTTAACATGAAACTACCATCTTCAGTTAGAGTTTTTGTCATAGCGCACTACATCTCACACGTCTGCAGTTCAGTACTAACAGGTATTTGTGATAAGTTCTAACATCTATCGTAACTTTTAAACAAATGTCAAGTCTGACCCTATTGAAAGGTGGACAATACTTGGTCACCGCACGAAAACCGAATGAATTACCTCAATTTTAGCACTATGACAGAGAGCTGGAGACAATCTGCTTACCCTGTATAGCCTTTTATAAATATATTTCTTTCTCACTCTCGATGTCCTCCTCAATGCTTATTTCTTTGATAAAGTCTTTGTTTTGAACCCCTCAGTAAAGGCTGGCAAAGCCTGGCGGGTACTTCACAGTTCTTGAATGGGACATAACAGGTTGTTTCTTTTCTTGCGACGAATCGAAGCGACCGCTGATTAACATCAGTTGCTAAACGAGGCTATAGCTAAAAAGATGTATATAGCATCTACAATTACCAGATTTTCCTACTTTCCTCAATTTCCCAAGGAAACTGATTTTGAGGCAAATTACTTCAAAGTCCAGTGGTTAGAGAATGAAAACAACCAACCAACAATGGGTTATTCTGATTGAAGTAAAGTAGAATTGACGTGATCGAAAGCGGGTATCAACATTCCCTCTGACCAAGATTAGTGAGACGTGATCTGTGAAAAAAAGATTCTCGTAGCTGCTGCAATTTTCTGAAAGTACCTTTAGCTTGCAATCAAAAAATATAGGATTCCGCACGCGACGCATTACTGTTTCAGTTTACGGAAACTTGGTCCAAAATCATAATGTGAAAATTCCTTTATGTTTCCCCGATCAACGTTTTAAAGCTGCAGTTTGAAACAAAAAATACTTCAGGTTCATAAAGCAAGTGCATTTTATGGTAAAATGTTGCTGCTTTCACTTCTAACATGTTCTTTTCATTAAATGTATAAAACAGGTAACCCCGGGATGACAGAGCTCGCACTTAGTGATTGACATCCCAGAGGTTGAACAAATCGAGGGACGTCAAATTGTAATGAGAAGCAACTTAGAAAGCTACCATACACTGAACTGTTTAAACATGCTTATTTTTCATCACGCAGTGTTCGTTATCACATAGTCTTTTGTTCATTTCTCACTTCTGTAAATTTTGATGCTTTCCAGGAAAGAGCCGATGGTCGCCTGGTTTCTTGAGTCAAGTCCGTGACCTGTCTTGTGAGCCCGGAGAAGTCAGGAATAACGTCACATTCCTCCATGGCACTAAATCCGGGAATTTCACCAAATTAGGAAAAGTGTCTGACTTGGAAGTGTGTATGTTGTTATGCTGTGAGCTGGATCGTTGCCAGGCTGCGTTTTTGGCGGGAAAGAACTGTTACTCGGTTACTTGTTTCACAGACAACCATTGCGCAACTGCACCCGCGCTGAATAACAAGTGGCAGCCAGTGGTGGCGTTCGTAAAGAGATTACATAAAGCAGTTCATGTAGAAGCTGGTAAGAATTTTTTTTACGACAACCCTAAAATTTTCTGTTTGACCCTTCTTTTGCGCAAAACGACCAGAGTATGAAATTATTCAGCGGATCGTCCTCTTAACTTTCTATTTGAGATTCTCTTATCCCCCTAAAAGAAATGGCATCTCATGAACTCTGTTCACAAATTATGCGTAATTGATATTATCTCTCAGTATTAATATCACTTCAATATTACTGAACTGACTGACTGTTGAGGCAGTTAGCTGTGCTGTTCGCTTTTTCCGATGCTAAAATTTAAAAGTGGACGACATGGTCTTCTTCAGAGGGTATCTAAGTACTGAAGAGAAGGTTCGGTAATACTTTGGCTCTTTGAAGTTACAAAGACAGAGAAATCTAATAAGATTCCAATAAACAACTATGATGTTATTATATCCACTGTGTAACCGGGCCACATTCATTTTCCTGTAGCTCACGATGGTAACACTATCATTGACGCAAACGACGCTGGAAAGACTGGGGAGAGTAGCAGCAGTCAGAATGGAAAGAATGATAACGCGCAGACCAAAAAGAAGGCGCATTTGAAAAATTTTTTCAAAGAAGAAGAGAAGACAAGCAAAATGGAGCAGAACAGCGCGCGGGGAAAAATACCAGCTGGCGGAATGGCGGATACTGTTGAACTCGATGAGCTACAAACACAAGCTTTATCAAATAGAAAAGTAAGCAATATCAACAAATATTCGATTTAAAACGCAAAGCAGTCATTCTCACGAACGAGTACAACGCAATCTCTGAGAAATATTTGCAGGTCTCCTCTGATATAATTTTTACGTAAACTAAAAGGAGAAATCTACTTCAGTAACGTAATTGCCTACAGTGTCGTTTAGTGTGTTCCTATTTACACCACCGCGACGTAATTTCAGTATTTATGACCGAATATGGTCCCCTGATTTCCCCCTCACTTTTGTTGTTCTTGAAGGTTGCGCATGAGAAGAGACACTCTGCAAAGTACAGTCTGGTGTCAGCGGCAGTAGCCACGTGTCTTATGGCTTTTGTTCTCAGTGGATGCGCGGTTGTGGCGGCGAGAATACGAAAACGAAAAGAAAGCGTCATGGATTATGCTCAAGTACCAAACACTCAAGAATAATAACGAAAATATGACAAGTTATGGAGGCACAAGCTATCAAAGTGAAAAGAGTTTATCAAAGAATATATATTTTCTAGAAAAACATGTGAAAAGATGGCTAAGAAATAATCTAAAAGGCGTGGTCTCGAGTGCCTATTAACCAGTGATTTTTAAGAGGAGCTAAGTCATGAGCAATTGTGTCTACCACAATAAGATTTCTGGTTTCCCTGGTTAACTCTTACTTATGTGCAGCCTGTCTACCCCATCTAACTAAAAATTAAGGTTTCATTCTCTAACAATACAATAATCTCAGTCGACGAAATGACTCAACATGTCGTAACATGGCCCCTCACGAAGCACCTTAAATTGAATCCTAATGCGCCTTTCAATAGTGTCTCAAAACCAAAAACAATGAAATCACAAAGGGCAAAAAAAAACTAAAGGATATATCGCCAGGAACATTCTAAAGAAACGGTTTGAAGCGAGGGAAACGGAAAGGACCATATCCGTTCATAGATTAAGTTTTGCATCTGATTGGTTGGGAGGTTGGTGTGGATTTTCTAGACCAATAAGTGATTGGATTGCTTTTACGCTCAAATTAAAGCTCCTCTACCATAACTATGAATGGTGTTCCTAAATCTTACTGTCATGTAAAGTTGCACCAAATGAGCTGAAAAATAACAAAACTGATTGAGGCAAGGCATCTTAAAGATATCACCGATGTAGATTCTTACCTTAAATATTCAAAATTAAACCAGCCAGAAAGCCCTTCTACTGTTCAAATTGTGTTTCTTTGTAATTCTGAATGCAAGCAAAAGAACTCATCTTAATTTTTTACATAAAAAAACTGAAATGAAAAAGTGTTTGGCTTTGTGTATTTTGTCTAATCCAATATGTCTTCCTAACTTTTCTCCATCCTACCTCTTTTCTGCCTCCTTGATTCCAACATTTCATGCTCCTAAATTCCAGTCACACACTTCTTTTGATATTTATGCCCTTACAGTGTCATATCACATTTCCCATACCCGGAGGGCCATGGGTGGCCACTGAAATAATACAGGGTGAAAATAAAGTCAAGTAAAGACAGAGCACTCAGGCAGAAACTTGGGGGGCACAATTTCTCTTGAATTGTATAAAAGATGTCCAATTACAATTAATTCCTTCACAACTTTCTGTATTATTTAGTCATCGAGTGAGATTGCGGTAGGTACACTTTCATAAAAAATTGCAAAGACAACAGAAAAACATGACTCCATGTTAAATTCTTTTAATGGACAGACAAGTGGTGAGGGCATTCAATTACGGGGTCCAACAACAGAGAAAATGGACAGCAATTTATTGAATAGATATGTATTTAGTAGTATATAATTACAATTATTCTTTAGATCAGTACCTTGAATATCTATCAGACAGGTAAACAAAAAAATTGATTTTCTATGCAAAACACAAAAAAGGCTTTCAATGTTTTCAGATACTCCCCCTTTTCCCTTACTGCATTAATCATATTACAATTATATGGAATGCTGGCTATTATCCTAAACAAAAGAAAATTTTTCATATGGATCTAGCCATCAATTAGATATATTAAGTTAAAATATTCACATCTCTTCCATACATTTCAATATTCATTTGAGAAAAATAAAGCATCTGTCAACAGGTGCATGATTACTAATCTTGTGGCTCAAAAATATGTAATTTATTTTTACTCAAATCAGAAAGGCTATAGCACAGCTTGCTAGGACTGATTAAAGATCATCTCAGATTATCATGGGACAGAACAGCTTTTAAGACAGTATATAATACAAACTGAGATAGTATGCTGGAAAAGAACATACTACAATTGAACCTTGATTATCTTGACTAGTGGAGACTGGGCTGAATGCTCCAGATAATAAACAGTCCAGACAATTAAAAATATAAATGTTGATGAGCCAAAAATACAATACTAAATAGGCATCAATCAATCAATTTTTTACAAGAATTGAAAAACATCCTCCAATCATTGTGCACCTTCACAAAAATTGTCTTAAATAATATTTAAAACATTTTACCATGACAAAATGTTACAACCTAAAAAGTTGACCTAAATCAGTTTGTTTCAAGCAGCCACAGCCTGTAAAGCTGCATTAATGGATTAGTGTCAACAATGTTTTAGTACAGCTGGTACATTTCATGGAAAAAAATTTGCAACAGATCTCACATGTGGTTATTTTTTATAATTGATATTAAAAAATTGGACCAGAGAAGAGAGTTCAGATAATTGAGGTGCAGATAATAGAGGTTGGACTGTATCGATCTGCTATGCGCACTGCCTTAGCCTCTAAAAAAGGTCAAGATGTAGGCTTTGAATAAAAAAGACTTAACTGATAAAATGAAACAAAATACATTTATGACATACACCTTCTACCCCTTTTCCTTTATAATATAACAGTATTCAGAGTTTTTCTAAATCTAAGGTGGAAATGTAAGTTATAGAACTTTTCTCTGAAGGCTCTCTAAAATTATGCCTGGCTCTATTTAGAAAAATTCTTTATTTATTTTCTTTACCTTTATTTCTGTTATTAACAGGTTCCACTTCTTGAAATCAATCAAATTAAAGGAAAATGAAAGACAAAGAAGGAATTGAGTGGTGATTTTTACAACTTTTTCTTTAAAACTTCCCTTTCCTTATTTCTGCTTCCACTTTTTTACAAAGCAGCTCAGTGCTGGATCAATGAAATAACTGCCTAATTTCAAAATGGCTGTATTTGGTCTGAAACGACCCCTGTTATTTCAAATCAAATGAGTGCTGAGCTCAGGGTCAATTTATTGCTTACATCTCAAAATAAAGGGGTCTTAGCTCATAAAGAAAAATATTTTCAGCTATTGTGTAATCCAAGGGGTGTAGAACAAGACCTCAGTGAGGTGTGATCCATGATACGAATTTTCAAATTTAAACCTAGTCTGTTCAACTACTACTTCCTTGTGAGGGGAGTGCTTGTTGGACGTCACACTCTGACTGAAAAAGATCACACACTCTAAGGAGTACCTCACCCCACTCTTGACAAGTACAGCAGTTTTGAATTTGACGTCAATGCCATCACCATTGTAAACTCCATTGTTATCTGCCAGAAACTCTCCCTCAGTAAATCCAAGAGCCTTTTGCTGAGAATTTTCTTCCCTTATCCACAATTGCACTTTATCTCTGCGACTTTCCACATCTGACAAACCAAAAGTGCGGGTGAAGACACGCCCACCGGCAATGTAAATTGGGGATTCTGAATTGACAGTGAATGAAACTGTCTCTTCACGTCGTCCTGTACCATTACTTGGAGGTCTGTACCAGTGGTGTGGTGAAGGTGCTTCTGAATATCGGGCACATCGTCGCATCGGCCTTCCGCTGCGTGGAACGCAAGGGAAAACTACGTCTGGTTTGGTGTTTGTGGCGCTGAAATGTAGAAATATATTGAGAGCCTCTCGGTCGCTTAAAACATCTTGAGGAACGACTTCTTCTGCAAATTTCTTTTGCGACATGACTGGAAAACGAAGAAAGTACAGAGTTTCGCCAAGTGCTTTCCTTATATTTGCCCCAGAAGTGTTCAACCCATTCAGCTCACACTGCTTCTTCGCCCAGCGCAAGGTATAATCAAATAACTCTGACTCCTCGATCTTTAAAGTTTCCCTGCGTAGTAAAGACTTAATCACTGCTTCATCAAGTTCCAGAAAACTAGGTGATTCCAGACACTGTTTGGTGTTGAGATCAACAATAAACCAACATCTCTTCTCTAATTCTTCCTCTCTAAACTGTCGTGCCTGGGTCAACGTCTCGAAAACATTGTTCGGATCGATCCTTTCTTCGAGAAAACGGCCACATTGCCGCATCAGCGACAACACTAAATATTTCTTTGCTAAATACATAACACCGAGCACAGAATTTGCCGTGAGATGCAGTTCGTCGTAATAGATGAATCGAAGAAACTCGGTCAAGCACTCAGAGTTACAATCAGGAAGTTCGATTCTGTTTCCTTGTTCTGCTATGCCACCATGAAACATAGCAAAGAAAACAGGGCTACTGATCGCAAGCACATACTTGTGTGCTGGTAGAGCAATTTTTGTGCCGTGATCTTTGGTGGAATCTTCAACAACAAAGCTCACATCGCTGATCGTAGGATTTAAGAACATGTACTTGTTCCGCTCCCGCACGGTTTCCCTTGTTGATTGCCAATCATCGGTTTGAATGTCACTCGCCAAGTCCATAGTGATAAATAAATTAGTAAAGAAATATATATTGAAAAGAGAAAAACGCGTAATTTGTACGTAGCGAATTGTGTTTAGTTAGATGTACGAAGTGTTGCGTTACAAAAACAACGGCCCACTCATAGGGATCTGGGCCAAATGGTTACGTAACAGCATTACACACACGGTCAAATAAAATTTTTTGTTTAAATTCTTGCTTTTCAGGCATTGGTGGCTCCTCAGAAGCAAAATTCAAATCACTTTAAAAGAAAAACCATTACAATTTATCCTTAACTTTACAGCTGATCATTAAAAAAAACTGGTACCAAACAGTAAACCACCATAATGATAAATAATAAATGTTTTAACTTTGTAAAAGAGTAGAGTGTTACCTGCATTTAAAGAGAGAGAGAGAGATGTAGATGGATTCAAGAAATGCCCACAAAATCCCATGCGAAATACATTTTTGAACCTCCAAAATACCCTTGATGGATTATAAATAATAACAATAAACTGAATTACATATCACAATGCTTTGCGAATCATTTTCATCTCACTTTCTCAAGAAAGAAGCCTTTGTTCAATTGCTTTTACAATTGAGTTTTCAACCAACTTACAACAAATTATTATTAGGATCAAACCAATATTATCAAATATAATAGGAACATTAGGCCTGAGTACTGGGAAAGCTAACAAATATAATTTCAACAACAAAGTGCCCACATAAAGGTAATTAAGAATATTTGACTCACAGAATGCTTATATAGGGGGCAGTGTTGACTAATATATAACTGTCATTCAAAATATTGATTTAGATTTAGACAAAGATAATGAAATATCACTTCCTATTTTCTATGGGTACAATTTTAAATGTACTTTACAACAAAAAAAGATTGCATGATAAGGCAACTTAATTTATTTGTTTTAAGCAAAATTCAATAGTTACAAAAGTATAAAACCTGAAAAATCAATCTGAAACATGACAAAAAAAAAACACTTGTACAAATTTACAACAAACAGGAGCTCTTGCCTGCACTTAACAATAACTTGACTGCCTTAGTTAGTAATCCAAGGCAAATTTTAAAACTTCTACTGTTAACTTTTGAGGAAATTTCCCTCAATATTATTCAGCTTTCTATCAAGCAGAACTTTAGGTGAATGCATATTAAAGGCAGCACAATTGATCTGTCCAAGCATGCACTCTACATGAAAAAATTTTTTAATTGCACAAAAAATAGAAATATAGTCCTATCAAAAATATCACTACTGTGTATTCCAGCAATGATTTTTGTTATGAATTAAGATGCATGACAAAGTTTCAATGAACTTTAATCCATATTAGATAACCATGTAAAACCTCCACACTGCTATATTTTAAAAGCTGTCAGTATGAGTATGTGACTATGTTCTGTGAGCCAGCCATCAGCAAGATATGATCACACTGTGTTTTGTCCCTCTCAATCTATTTCTTCTTGAGTGACTGTATCTGTAAGTGATTATTGTCTCATTGGAAAAAATTTCTTCTTGAAGTTTCAACACCACTATAAGTTAAGACTGATTGCCTTCAATGTGCTCTATTTCCTTAGAAATTTCCCCTGAATTTGAAAAAGAAGGCATCTCAAATTTTTAAGGTTCCCTCCTTCTTTAGCTCTCAATAAAAAGGCATTTATCAGCTCCTCCACACCGAGAATGCAGGGCCATCCATGCGAGAGCTTCGAGGTGAAGAATCGCTAGCTGTCAAGACATCACCATTGTTTAATGCAGCTTGTTGCTATGAACATAATACACACAGAAGTAATGAGACATCTACTACTGAGCATAGAATAATAAACTATACAAATAACACAAATTATGTTTCAACTTTTTCAAAATAATTGAAGAACCTAAACTTGAATCTAGCAAAATACAGCATTCTCTTGGCAAAAGATCTATCACTTGACTGAGAAATATTATAAGAGAATGACAATCTCTTGTATAAATTAAGCAGTTACATAAACATCATTATACTTAATTTGTTTTGTTTTATTTTGTTTTTTTTTTTACTTCTTTAATTCAACACTGTTAGTGGCTTTGCTATGATTACTGCTATTCTAAAAGATCTATCTCTTCTTAAGTGTGAGGTCATGACAACTTACCTGGTAGCTATGCTGTGTTCTATCCCCTTGCAGTGTTGGTGTCTTGAAAATATATGCTGAACCAGGGCGTGAAAAGTATGCTCTATCTGTGTTTGGAATTTTTTCTTCTCCAATTTCAACCTATAATATGTTTTAAAGATAATCATCAGATGACAATATCTTGACAGGTAAATAGAATACTACCTATAAAAAGCAGAATAATTTAAGTGTATCTTTTTATATGTTAATATCATTATAAAGAGTAAGCTAAAACGTTGTGGCAATAGCTGAACAGAACCTCTTACCTTCTTTACAATATCCATTTGAATAAGCTCAGCTTTGGGTGTCCTTTTACATCCGGCAGCTATGTCAAATTTAAATTTTCCACATCTTTTAAGCAAGTACATTTATATTACACTTATTTCCTGGTAAGCATAAGGAACCACTCAGCAACTATCACATGTACTTATCAATTGAATAAAACTCACATAAATCAAAGAAAATCATTCCTGAAGAATAACATGAAACAGTAGAACTTGTTATGATATAAGAAACACTACATCTAGTTTGGGGAAGCAGACATACTTGAAAATATAAATCATTTTCATTTACAAACCTGCAAAAAATGGCCATATCCCATCAAGTGCAGATGCAAAGTCAATTGCTGATCTGGAAATATATATTACATCATGAAAGTATTAAGTTATTAACATGAACAAAAAGAGCCCTAAGTAAACTGAGCTAGCATAATTCCCTGCATATAAATTTGAATGTGTAAATCACTTTAGTCGAAACATATACTTCCATTTAACACAATTTTATAATTAATTTTAATAAAGGTTCTCATGGAACTTCAGTCAAGTTGGTTCTTTGCTTTTGTCATAGCATGATCACGATTTTCCAAGTAGAATGATAGGAGCTCATACATTTTGAGACAAGTGGCTCACTAACATTATCGCACAATCATCAGATCAATTAAATAGAAGGCAAACACAAAATAGCACCAATTGTTAATGCCATTTTCCCTCATCAGATTGTACATACAGGGACTAAACAGTTAAAAGGTCACAGGCATCCATTAATTTTGCGTGACCCTTCCAGCAAATTCTGAGGCTTTAATTGATTAATACATTCTAACTTGTTATTAGTAAATTAGGCATTCAGTTCCGATCACAATGGGAAATGGCTGCTCCACAATATTTCTTTGATAGTATTCAATAATTGTATGATTTGTCAAAAACTGGTATTAAAATTAAGTGAAAGTAGCCTACTGAAGATGCAGACGAGTTTACAGCTTTGACTAGCTACTGACTCTAATTGAGAGCCCTGTTATTGACTATCCTAAGTTCTTTCATCCGATGAAAATAATTCTAATGAAAATTCACTACACACCATAAAAACACCTTGTTTGTAATTTTTTTACATGGTAATGACCCATTTACCTGCCAAGGTTGTCTCTAATTGTCATATCAGGGTTATTATTCATTAGTAGCATTACAACTTTTCCATGTCCTTGGAATGTTGCGCAGTGCAGGGCTGTCCAATTTGTGCCTCTGTTGCACGCATCAATGTCAGCTCTGAAAGCGGACGAAAGAGACTACTTTGTAAATGCAATTCTGGAAACGAAAAGTGCCACAGATAAAGATATTTCTGTTTTTTCTCAAAATCGTAAAGGAAAATTTTACTCACCCTCGATCTAGCAAAAGTTGTACAATCCCGCTGTAACCCCAAAAAGCTGCAATGCAAAGAGGTCTGAAGCCTTCTGGTGAAAATGAGTTTGCGTCCATTCCTTGATCCAAAATCGCCTTCACTACCTAAAAAGAACACAAAGAAGCTGTGAGAAAGATACCAAAATAACAAAGTTCCCTTTACATCAATTTTAAAACAAAAATTACGATTTTGAAAAAAAAGAAACCTGACCTTTTCGTCGCCTGTGGCTGCAGCGCTTGTTAACTGCGCTCCGTCCGCCATCTTGTTTTTATTCTTATTTGCAACACCGCTGCTCAAAACAATTCCTTATTTATAAACCCGCTGACCGCCTCATTCCCGTGACTCAAACAAACTTTAAAGAAATTTACAAGTTGCAGGCAGGAAAGATGGCTTCTTCTCTTGAGCAGCTAAAGAAATTCACCACCGTCGTCGCTGATACAGGCGATTTCGAATGTAAGAGAGAAAGATGATTTTTCGAAGGATTTGCTGTTTGCTTGGAGTAGTTCAACCTATGTGATTTTTCTTTTTAGCCATTTCTAAGTACAAACCTACTGATGCGACAACGAATCCATCACTGCTCTTGGCTGCGTCCAAAATGCCTCAGTATAAACACTTGATTGAAAAAGCAGTTCAGTATGGAAAAGCAAACGGAAGGTTAGTGCTAGGGATCTATTTTCAGATAAATTTTGGAGATGTAATCTAACTTTTCTACTAGTTTGCGTGTAAATACCTCAAAACACCAGTCACGCTTCATGCCTGGCGAACTGGCAAATATGTGATTTGCATGTTGTGATTGATTGGTATGAATTTAAACAGGAAAAATTATACAAGCGTTGATTGTTTTGGTGATGACGAATTTATGATAATTCATATGGTCCAATATCGATCGGGAGTTTGCTTTACGTAATTTGGTTTTAACTGGGTGCCAACATTAGTCATCATGACATAAAGACTGTCACGTGCAAGCTCGCTCCAAGGACTCATCAAAAACTTTTAATAAACTCTTGGATTGGTTATTGGTTTATCCAGACAGAAAAGACGGCGACAGATTCTTGTAAAGTACTTGTTAGGAAGATGCTCAATCACCAGGATTCAAGTGATTTTTTAAAAAATTCTGGTTGTCTTCAAGACTTTCCTTGACCCTTTTGAGTCATGGATCTTTATCTTGTAAGTCAATGCAAAAGGCATGACATGCAAAATAAATCTGATCTCATATTTCTAGATCACTTAGCCCCACATTGGTGTTGCTTTCTCTTCAACTCTAATGTTTTTCTTTGTAATTGATCCCCACTGGTTTTGTCTGGGATAACTGCAAATATGATTTTAACAAAGGAGGGGCATTAATTCGAAGGAGGATACTTGATATTCTTCTGTACAGATTCTACTGTAGTTGAAGCTTAAGAAAGTCATAATTTAATTGGTGATAGAAGCAGGTTTTCCTTTCATTCTTGCCATTTAAGATAGTTAGAGAGAGGGGAGGGGGAAGTGCTTATTCAAGAATGGTTCCTGTTTGACATTATCACCTGGGAGGTGGGCTCTTATTCTACAAAGGGTGCTTATTAGAGTGTGGGCACTTATTCAAGGAAATATGATATTCATGAGACCCAGATACGCACTATCAGAAAGACATAAAGGTAGCAAAAGTCATCCAAGAGCCATAAGCAGTGCAGAACAATTGGCTGGCAAGGCAAAGGGCCTGCATTTGTCTTGCCATTCTAATCACAGGCTTATCAGTCTTGCTGCCTGTTTTAATATCAGTCCATTGAAGCTTGCTTGAAAAACAGACAGGGAAAAAAAATGAATCAATTGAAGAGAGAAATTCAGATCAAAGGGAAAATAATTTTACAGTGTTTTTTTTTTCTATTTATTATAAAAACTTTCCCTATTATCCTGTTAGATTCTGACCTTGTCAATCACTTGACAAAAGTATCTTGTCTCAGAACAAATCTTAATGAAATTTTGTTTCAAATTCAAGCACTCTGGAAGAGCAAGTAACTGAAGCAATGGATAAAATAGTAAGTCCAACAATTTTGAATTGCGTAATTGAGACCTCTTCAGGAGAGAGCTTTGCTCTAGGTTTCATTTAATGTTGAAACTCTAATATCACCCCTCCCTTTGAAGTCATGTTTGCTGCCCACAATCATTATGGTAATGGCTATCTTTAAGCAGAAACAAAAATTATGGGCAGAAAATAATACAATCACAAAGTTCTCAGGAAAATGACCTGAGAAACAGCGCATGTTGGCTGAGATGTTGGCAATATGATATACAGTAGCATAAAATGCATTTAAATCATGCAACTTAATTTACATGTAAGTGAAAAGAACAATGGCAGTTCACACTATATTTTAAATATGGTCACTGTGTGCTGAACAAGCTTCAATTTTCCTATTTACCTTATTTTGGTAGTCATGATCTGTCACCCTTCTCAACAAGGTGTTTATTTTTCTTCTTCATTTACCTTATTTTTTTCAGTTTGTCCTTTTTGGTGTTGAGATACTGAAGCTAGTACCAGGTAGAGTTTCAACAGAGGTTGATGCCAGGTCAGTGAACTTGAGTTATAATAAATCAAGAGGTATACAGACAGTTCAAACTTGCTTGACATTATCATCCCCTGGCTTTAAAAGACAGGTCTTTTTACACTGCAGTTCTCTGCATTATACAATTCTCTTTGGCAGACCCCAGATATACCAGGTCAATGCCTGTCTCCAGATAGCAAACTCAAATAAGTGTACTGTGGGCGGATTCAGACGATGAAGATGAAACTTTAGGCTCCAAAAGAAAAGTCATTATAACACCCCTTTCCTCTACTCCTTATGCATTGACAAGAAAACTGAAGGATTCGATGCCTGGGCTTTTCTGATATTGGTGGGAAAGCCCCCTTAGTTTTTTTTCATGTTGGGTATCTATTAAAGAACATGATTAAAAAACATGATTTTAGTAGCATTTTTTTTCAATATTGCCATCACAGAATCTTAGGACTGCTTTTTGCCTTTTTCCAAAAAAAAAATTATCAAAAGGTTAAATTATTTTTCAACCTTAACATCATGGAGAAAAAAAACTTTATAATGTAAACCAAGTTAAAATTATTTATCATAAGATATAATTTTTATCATTCAATAATAAGTGTGAATTAAAATTCTATAATTATAGTGGTCAGAAATGGCTGTTAAAGCTTTTTTAGCCCTTTAACTTCCCAGATCAAATTTGTAATCCTCCTTACTATCAACCATACAACTCTTATAATGTTAGTTCAGAGAATTTAGTATTGGATCAACTAATTTTCACCAAATTGATATTTTTCTTTATTATCATAACTTATCTGGTTGTTATTGTATTGATATTGTATGGAGAAATTCTGTCTTGGTCACCCATGGGAGTCAACAGGTTAAGATATTATATTTATACAGAAGTCTGTTGTAAACATGATTTCAAATGTAGTTTGAATCTTTGTACACTTCATTTTGTGTAGGTTATCCTTTGATGTTGAAGGCTCAATTGAGAAAGCAAAAAAGTTCATAAAGCTTTATGAAGAGGCAGGAATCAGTAAAGAGAGAATCCTCATTAAACTTAGCACAACTTGGGAAGGAGTTGAAGCTGCAAGGTTAGTATTTAACAGCCACAAAATTTGTTCTCTAAATGGCTCTAATTGTATTTTCTTCCCAAACTTTTGCATCTAATTTGTCTAAATCCACCTGCTCCTTAATTGCAGTTTGACTACTACCTTCCTTTACTTCAGCTTTTACATAGCAGTGTTTTAAAGTTGCCACAGGGGAAGGTTACACTTGTTAACAGTGGGCTTATTCAAATTTGTGGATCCCTTTACACTCTAATATCAGTACCTATATTCTCCACACTTTTCTCTTCACATGTCCTATAGTACTGACAAGTAGATTTCTTTTAACCATCCTAAGCCATAAGGGGCTCCTTTAATTGGTGATTATTTGATTTTTTCCTTGGGACTTCTATATTTGATTCAATGGTGATATTGTTCAGAGAAATTAGAAGCCAGTCACTGTACTGTTAAACAGTTAAATCCATCCAATAGTGAAGCAAGATTCAACCAGCTGAAGGGCTGATAATGAATAGCCACACACTGTTAGGTGTGTATGGCTAACTGAGCATGTGTTTGCAAGAGGCAAGTGATCTATTTGGCCACACATGTTAATAATGCCATGGATTATGTTAATGGAATAATTTTTTAAGTATTTTAAGCTCTCCACAATGGGTACTTTTCAGGAAGCTCGAGCAAGAGGGTATCCATTGTAACATGACCCTTCTTTTCTCATTTGCTCAGGTAATCTTTCCTTTACTTTTAAAATAATAAACATTTTGGGAGCAAAGTGCATTCTGTATTGAGAGTGTGTTACATAATAGAATGAACACACCAATAAACATATGTATGTCACCTCTGTTCAAGCAAAGCAGGTGTCATGAGCCACACACAGCATTCCCCTTTAGACTGTTATAAATCAGCCCCAAAATTTAGAGCATTTTGTTGCAAACAAGTTTTTGCCTCAAAGATTTTAGGTGTGCATATGAACATACACATAATCAATGATATGTTATTTGTAATTTTCCCTTTTCTCTTTCCCCAGGCAGTAGCATGTGCTGAAGCGAATGTCACACTGATCTCACCATTTGTTGGTCGCATTCTGGATTGGTATGTCAAGAATACGGACCAGAAGGAATTTCAACCTGCAGATGATCCAGGTAACATGAGATTATTAATGAGTAATTGTACAAGAATTTAATTCACATCAATCAAAGAGATGTTAATGTAGAACTCTACCCTAGACTCCATAGAGGCTGGTCCCTTAATTCTTTTCATGCATAAAATTTTGTGACACAACCATTACTTTAGATTAGAAAGACTTTTGGAGAAGAATGTTTTGAAACAGGTTATGTCAGGAAAACAAAGATATCTTGTTTTCTGATCTTGTCACCACCACACAATACTATACTAGACAGAGTATTCTATATTTGTACTCTCTTTGGAATGATCACAAAACATGTTCAACAGTATTGAAAACAATTACAGTCGTCTTGGATTATGCAGACTCCTGGGTATTGGGCTGGGTATTTACTCTGGATAATTGAAAGTCTGCACAATTGAAAATATGAATAATACAGAACAAAATAAAACTAAATATGTATCATACAATCAATATTACACAAGAATTAAAGCACATTCTCAAATCATTGTGTGTTGTTAACCCTTTAACTCCCAAGATCTCATTAGTAATTCTCCTCACTGTCTGCCATGCAATTATTATGATGTCAATTTGGAGAATTTGGTATTGGATCGATTCATAATCCCCTAATTGATATTTTATTTTATTCTCATCGCTTCTGTGCTTGATATTGTATTGAGATTGTAAGGAGAAATTCTCTCTTAGTCACTAATGGGAGGTAAAGGGTTAAAATTTACCAAAAGTATCTACAAAATTTTTTTTGATTGACCAACAATAATAATTTTAATGATTATGAATTGATTATAAAAATATAGTTGATTATCATAATTATATCTGTAAAGATACAATTAGTGCATCCTTACACTCCCACTATGGGTAGTTCCATTTGTCTCATGCTTTGGAGGGGTGTTTTTGTTAGGTGTGAAGAGTGTGACAGCAATTTACAATTACTACAAGAAGTTTGATTACAAAACTGTTGTCATGGGAGCATCATTCAGAAACACAGGGCAGATCACTGAACTAGCTGGTTGTGATTTACTCACTATCAGGTAATAATTTCCACTCACTTGGTATTAATTTATTGTAATAAATCAAATCAGAGCTCTATTTTCATGGGCACTTCAAATCACCCTCTATCATAAGGTAGGTGGTTCGTAAGAAAATTTATCCTCTCAATCTCAAACCATAAATAATTTGTGACCACAAAATATAATTGCCATCACATTTTCATGGAACACTGAAATCAAAGGTTTACTTGGTGAATCTTGACTTTCCACACTGGTGTTGTATTTTAAGTTCTTGCTAAGATATTTTTCATAATAGAAACTTGCACTTTTTACACACTTGAATGTTTTATGCATGAGAAAAAAAGGAATAAACACCCAGTTTTGAAAAAAACACCCAAGAATCCTGCTTTGTATAAAGATTAGAACAGTTTTTATCTGGTCCTGGTTATAACCACAGTGACATCTGCAAAATGCTTTTAATGTTTTGTACATAATAGTATACCTGAAGAAATTATGTACATCCGATTGGCTGTTGTCTTTGAAAATTTACTTGTGCTTATTAACACCAAATTGCACTCAATCATGTTAGTACCAATACATATACAAATTCTTATTTAATATTCTGTGATTCATTTCAGTCCCTCATTGCTAGAAAAACTTTCCAATTCCACTGAAACAATTTCCCAGAAGCTTTCAGTCGAGGAAGGTGAGAAAGCAAATATACCTCATCCATTGACAACCTTTGAGGTCGTTGTTTCCATATCCTTTTAGCAAAGCTGAAGAGGCACAAGCTAAGAAGAAGTCATACAGAAACATTTGGCAACTTCTGTAGGACTAAAAGGAAACAAAAAGAAATTAATAATAATAATACATTTAATACATTAATACATTGACGGAAGTGTTTTTCCTTTACACTTCTCCATCAATAATTAATAATTACATCATGAGCTCTCTATTTCTATTGTGTGATAGTTGATGAGGATAAAGCCCAAATAAACTATTGAGCATAGAATGGAGAGGGAATTATGAAATTATTCTGGTCTATATATACTAGTTATTCAATACTTAACAAGACAGGCTTCTCTTGTCTTTTTATTTTATTTTGCTATCAGTTGCATTCTGCTAGGCTACTCACCTCACTCACTATATTTAGGCAGCAAGTATCGTGTCCAATCAGATCGCAGCACTTTTGATAGAATGCTAGTAGATTAAACTAAAACTTCACATCATGAAGCCTGACATATAGTCAGCATATACACAAGAGACCAGTTTACTGAACATTTTTTAATGCATTTTCATTTTAAAAGTGCAGCATTTATTTTGAATTCTAAATAGAATCAAAAGGATCGGGTATTTTTAGCTCTTTATGTAGGTACTCTCACAGTGAATAATGCATACTTACTTACACACAAATTAACAGTCACACAGGGCAACATGCATAAACTTTAAGGCAGTATCAATCAATTGTTGTTGTTGCTTGTTAATCTTATTGATACTCAATTGTATGCCTTTTGCAGCCAAAAAACTCGACATTGAAAAAGTCTCCCTAGACGAGAAGAAATTCCGCTGGCTTCTCAACGAGGATGCTATGGCAACAGAAAAGTTGGCTGAGGGAATCAGGAAGTTCGCTGTAGATGCTGTTAAACTTGAGGATATGATCAAGAGTGAACTCCAGAAATAAGCTTTCCCTAGCGGGTAGTCCTGTATACGCCACCAGGACATTTTGAAAACATGGCTTTATGACCGGAACTTAATGGTCCTTAACATGAAAAGAATGCTAAAAGATATGATAACGGGTATTTAAATCAGACATGCGTCTTGCAGTAGATACATGAAGTTAATCAATTTAGTGGTATATTCGTGGCTGTAATACCTTACTAAATAATAGCTGTTGCCTCTTATGAAGATTGGGGCTGTACATCTAGGTTAGATTTTTTTCTTCAAACTAACAAGCAGGCAGTCGATCATTAAAGAATACTTTTTAGAAGATTTGAATTGTTTGTTGAGTTTGGTGTTTGTTCGTTTGGTTGATGCGTTTTTGTACAGAAAAATTTGAAAGAAAGGTGATAGTGGACAGGGCGAGAAGCGGGGAGGGGAGAAGCCATCTTTCCGTGTTTGTATTTTGTTACAATAATGAGACCATATATTCACCCAATCAATGCTCTCCACGTGATGGTGCTCGTATTAGATCTCTCAAGCGATCAAGTTGTTGAATTTCATTAGTGAGGTCATGCTCGACGCACTTTTTCCGAGCTTTGTGTTCAAGTTTAGTCGCCCTTCCTATATCGCCTTCCCGATAAGCGAGCAGTGATTGGCTATAAGTGTAATAGATCTTACTTCGTTCAGACATCGTCCCAATCTGCCGTTCAATGTTATTCAAGACAGTCTTTGCGATGTCTATATCTGAGCTTGAAACTTCCTCTAAGATGCCGTGTTGATAAAAGCCCAAATGGACGAGAGCCTTGCGCAGTGTCACTTGTACAACTGTGTTGCTCTTATCGACTGTGGCCTTCTCGCAATACTTGATTGATTTATCTAAGTGTAGCAGAATATTTTGCTGGTCTTCTTTGCTGTTTCGGCTGCTTGACAAAATGATATTTGCTTTAGCGTTGTTGACCTCAGCAGTGTCTTCATGGCACTCCCCAAGACTTAGCATATGCTCTGCTTCGTCCACCTCTCTTAAAGCGTCGTCGTCTTGGCCCTTGTCATGTAGCAGATACGATTTCCGTATCTTTATCCTCGCATGTATCCAAACCCTGAATATGAAAAAGAAAAGTGTGAACGCAAAGTAAACTGAACCAAAATTATCGAACGTGATTAGTTATCAATTGCCTGACTTTTTCTAAAATCATACTCGTGATGAACAAATTGCACTTCCGCTCTGGAGGTTATACGATTTTGTTTATCACTTGTATGATTACGCAAGGAGGTCTCTCTTTTACGGCCAACGGTTAAAATTTTGACCATTTTACGGCTAACAGTTCATATCTTTCCGTTAAAGTTTACAAAAAAATATTTACAGTTAAATTTTGTTTATGACCAAAAGTTTACCCCATTGACACCCTCGATTACAGACTGAACTGGACTCTACTCGGTCGTACACGTATTATTAGTCACCCTATCTTAACACCCTTCTTTTATTTCTGTCAACCTTTACGGCCAGTCATTATAAAACAGTAATCAAGCCCAAAAAGAAACAGCCCCAGATTACGAGCAAAATTTCCTTCTTCGTTAGATTTCATTCCCGAGCTCTCAGTTCACCTTTTGCGGCTGAGCTTTAGTTCTGTTTCCAGGCTGATTTTGTTCCCGTTTTCCCTCAAGTTTCGGTTTCGATTTCCGGATTTCGAATTATTTCCTCACTACTGTCAAAACAAATGTTACATTGAACCTACCCGTTGTTTGCCAGAAGAGCGTTAGGAACCAGACCATTAAGCACTTCTAATGCTTCATCTTTTCTAGAACGATGGCTTAGGGCAGCTGCGTGCTGGATGCCAGCCAAAATCTTCAAATCCAGGTCACTAGTAAATCCCTTCAGAAACGTCTCCAATTCATCCCAGCGTAAATTGAACGACAGAGAATTAGTCTTGTTTATCATTTTAATGTATCGGCTACTTTGGAAAATCTCTGGTTTTGTGCGTGAAGGCACCAGGTCAACGCTAACATTCACATGACGCTGTATTCTTGCCACGCGAGTTTGTATTTTCGAAATGATCTCACTATTCCCTGACGCTCGAGAACTTCCGGCTGCGTTCGATGGTGTATGATCGTTTCCCCCAACTGGCTGGATCTTCATTTTGTTTTCCAACCTTTCGAGATCTTTTTCTAAGGAGAGGAGGCTGTTGTTGTCGTCCTTTAACCACTGTTTATATCGCTCGAGATCCTCGGTTCGGAATTCTATCTCAGTCTCCAAGGTTTGTAGCTTTCCAACAAGAGGATGTGAAGTTCTCAGTAGATCTCCAACAGCCCGAGTCAATGTATCGATGTTTCGATGGAATCTTCTTCGAGAAAGATATGCTTTACTGGCATGGGCTATGACCTCATTTCTTACTTCTTTTAGCCTATAGATAACGTTTCCAATCCTTCTACCGTAGTGACTTGAACGGCTTGAGGCCAAAGCGTGCGAGAACTTCAAAGCAAAAACTAACGTGGTAACGTCCCATTCTTCTACGTCTCCAGAAGACAAATGATCCTTGATCGGCTGATACTCCGCTCTGTACGCTGGATCATAGAGCCGGGATCCCGGTGCTCGCCTTTCCTCCGCTAAAATCTGCGCGCCACTAGTGTGGTCATCTCGCCACGGAGTGGCAAGATAAAGATAATTCCATTCTTGTTTAAAAACTATCCTCAATGCTTCGGTCGAGTAATCCACTACACCCTTAGTAAGTCTAAAAAATCGGCGTTCGCCGTCGCTGTAAATGGTCGCCATTTTGTAGCAAAATTCAAGAATGAATATTTATATCAAAATCAACAAATTGATACCAAATTCCAATCCTATCGCTCTGACGAAGGGCTAACGCTCGAAACGTCAGCATTTTTGCTCTTTACAGCAGCCAATTTACGTTTTCAACTCAGTTGTTTGCACTAAATTACCTGATACCAAATTCAACGATTTCTCTCAACATCAACGCCATCAACTTGCCACTTTCAACGTTGTATTAACTCTTAAATCAACAGAGAAAATCGCCTCAACAAAAGTTTCTTTTGCTTTGTGATCAACTCTATCTAACTGCTTTCAAGATCAACAATTCCGAATGTCTCCTATTACCGAGACGGACTGGAAACTACTATATCTATCTCTAAGCAAGCAAGATGGCGGACCGCAGCGAAGAAGGTGAACAAAATGGTGTAAACACATGGGTAAATAGCCAATGGAATTCATTTTTTACCGATTTAGCGGAGCTTTTGAGTGAATATTTGCAAAAAAAGTAAACGAATGACGTTGTTTTAAGGGAAAGCTTAAGTATTCGTTTGGAAAATGCAGTGTAAACTTTGCAAAATTAAAACCCGTTTGTGTAACAGTCTAATAGGAAATCAGTTCTCGAAATGACCAGGAATTTCCAGGTGGTATTTTGGGACTGCTATCGCGGGTTTCAATTTCCAAGCAGAACAAGGTGCTCACAAGTGGCCGTTTTGGCATTGTGTTCACCAAATAGAGTAAATATGGACATACTGGATGACCAAAGTTTGACCTAAAGGAAGAAACATTGGTCGAGCTCCGCTCGCTGGGCTTCAGTTGGGAAGGTATAGCGCGTATGTTACTTGTTTCACGCTGGGATATTCACCGCAGAGTATCAGAGTTTGACCTTAACCACCTTCCACGCTTTAGTGACATCACTGATGGTCAACTGGACAGCAAAGTCAGCACCTTCCTGAGGGAACATGGCTGCTTAGTTGGATCTTCTATGGTTTTGGGTCATTTGAGATCTGAGAAGTTAATTGTACAGCGTTGAACAGCTTACATTGGGGGACAAGAGTCATCTTATGATGATTTTATATGGTATGGCTTTGACCCATCAGTACCTACTCCCATGGATAATGGATCGTCCACAATTGAGGTTGAGGATGTAAATATTGAACTTCCAGGAAATGTCACACAGGATCTTACAGCAGCTGTTAACCCACTTCAGCTATCAAACAGATATGGAATAGATCTATTCATTGACTGTCTCAACATTTTGCAATCAAATGCCTAGCTGAACTGTGAACAAAATCCAAATGCCTTAGTTGTCTTATGGACCTCAATACAAATTGGCTTCTCAAATGAAACAAGTGAAAGTGAAACAAATGCAGTTCAAATTTTTTTAAAAGTAGCAATTAATAGTATTGGAAGTAAGTCAACTGAGACATACTTTAGTTTTCAATAATGCAAAGCATAACTCTGTGAACAACTATTGGGAGAACTTGTAATCTGATTGGCCACAAGGGCTGTGAATTTTTTGATAGACTTCTCTGGAAGTGCATGAAATTAAAATGTCCATAATCACAGACCAAGGCTATAAAATCAATGAGGCACTTTTGATCAACTTTTTATTGAACAAATTGTTATTTGGGTTAGGCTGAAATAGTAGTTGGATGGTTCACTCATGGTATCCATTGACTTTTGATAGTTGACTTGTGGCTGTGCCCCTTGCCAACTACAGGCATCAGAGGAAAGAAACCTCTACCTTGCCATTTAGTTGTAAAGACATCATTAAGTTAAGAGATGGCTGGTCACTATTTTTTTCAACTTTCAAATTTTTATATTTTGAATCTCAAAGTATTTGTTGACATTGTTGAACATTAAGTTTGTCTAACACAAGTTCTGTGATAACTCTTAAGAAAATTGCAAATACAAGTTATTCTAAACAAAACAGTTTAACAATTTGTATTTTCTTTTTAACAATATGTATTACCATTATTGTAACAAGAAGTTTTAAAATAACACAAGTACTGTGTTAAGTCTTTACTGACTGGTACAAAATCTCAAGTTGAAAAAAACACAACACAACTTTAATTCCATGAAGAAGTTAGTCCTTGCTGTCAACTCTTCTTCACTGTGATTAACCTAACACAAACTTCAGTAAAAAAGCTACTCTTCAAACAATATAGATTTATAATTTGCCTGTGACCAGTAAAATATGAATATTGGCCTTATTAGTGCTCAACATGCATTTTCTTTTGGTCATGCAACAATAAATAATTATTCAGCAGTACAGCTGGAAATATATGAAAGAGAAAGAATGATTTCAGATGCCAGACTGCCTGTAAATGTTTCAACAGTGACATTTAACCCTTTAACTCCCACGAGTGACCAAGACAGAATTCCTCCTTACAATACCAATACAACATCAAGCAGACAAGTGATGAGAATAAAGAAAAATATCAATTAGGGGATTATAAGTTGACCCAATACCAAATTCTCCAAACTAACGTCACAAGAACTGTATGGCAGACAATAAGGAGAATTACTAAACAAGATCTTGGGAGTTAAAGGGTTAACTGTTTTCGTTACTTGAGGATGATTATTT